GTCTCAGGGTCATTAAGACTGATGTTCACATGGTCCAACAGCTGGGAGCCATGGATTAGTCCAGGGATTTTCAATTCACTTTAGCTATGGAGCTCTTCCTTCCAATCCCATGATGTATATACAATTACAAAGGTTGAGTTCCTCTGGTTGGAGAAGGATGATCTCGCCTTCCTTCCTTTGCCTTCCACACCATCCCTGACATCACAGATCTAGTCTGTTGGGGTAGTTGCTAGAGAATCTTTTCCACATATGTTAAACATTGTTGTGTTGTTGTTAAGTGTCACTGAGTCAGTTCTGATTCATAGTGACCCTGTATAGGGTTTCCAAGGAGCAGCTGGTGAGTTTGAACTGTCAACTTTGTGGTTCAAACCAACCTTGCGGTCCAGTGCTTTATCCCACAGTGCTACACCAGGACTCACTTTCTCCTATGTATTGGAATGGGAGTGACTGGGAAGACAGAGAAAATATTACACAGTTTCTGGCCTTAATGAAATCTGCCCGTACATAATGAAGATGGGCGCCTTTCACAACACTTCCCAATCATTACAAAGACCTTGGAATCTGCCCTTCTAAGAAACTTGCATTCTTTATCCAATTCAAAATAATTCCTTTTTTTTTTTTTTCTTTTTCCTGTAATTAGTGGCAAAATCTGACACATGTACAGACCACTGTGTATATTGAGAAGTTTACTCTTGTGGACTGACAAACAAGACTTAAGTATAACATTCACAGCACTTTGCCTTCATGGTTTCAATTTACTGTAGAGATTATTTGAAGTCCCAATGGATGAATTGTGATACTTCCTTATTTAAAATTTTGCTAATGACAAGCCCTTTTCTTTGCTTGATTTTACTGTGAAAAACACAAACCAGTGGCATGGAGTAGAAACAAACCACTAGAAAGTACAACAGAACTGTACAGGGTTGCAGCGAGGCACCTATGTATAGATGGGTGAGCCCAGAGCAATTAACTGAGGCTACGTTCAGGCTCTCTCCCTTCCTGTGGCCCAAGTGCTGAAAGTGTGTGTAACTTTACTAGACAAGTGTCTAATTGCCCCTGAGCACAACATAGACACTGGGACACAATCCTTCCTAAGAATCACACACCAATTTCCATGCAATAGCAACAGTGAGTAGTGTAGCTCTTTTGTTGTTGTTAAGTGTTGCTGAGTCTGTTCCAACTCATAGTGACCCTGTAAAAGGGTGTTTTTT